ATCTAAGTCACCTATTTCTGACCATGATTGCAAATATCATCCCCTTTTCTCCACGGAAGAAAAAGAATAATAATTCTCAATAAAAAATGGCTTGAATTGCCAAAACAGGCCCTTTGATCTTTACATATGAGTCATTTTGGAAGGACAAATCCTTCCAAATCCATAGCCAAGATGGGATAACCTAAACTGCTTTCTGGAACAACACGTAGGTCTTTTTATGCAGCAGTAGTTTTTATGCCACCTCCAAGAGTCAGCAGTTCAAAATATAAAGAGAGAACATAGCTGGAGAGGAAGAGTTTGTGGGTGTGGGTGTCAGAAGGAGGAAAAAAAAATGAGCATTGACTACTACTTTCAAATTACTGACCACACAGAGAATTCTCCATTTACCAACAATTGGGCTGCAAAGAAGTTATGTTCTGAGGAATTTTTTTCACATTTTCTAGGATGCTGATCATGCCTGCTGGAATTTGACACCCTACCAGGCAAATTGATAAAAGTCTTAAGAATATAACACCATTTTAATGAACTGGGCTTGGTTATCATGCTATCAATGGACAGAGGCTATCAATTGAGTAGGTTTCATAATGCACCTTCCGTTACATAGTCCTCTGCTAAAGTGAGAAGACACAAATTCATCTATTACGAAGACTGAGCCCAGTCTTAATAATGCAAAAGGTCTCTGGAGATTCTCAGTCATCCAGATCAGGGTTGTCCCAAAGGTGCTTCTTCAAAAGGCAACTGGACTTTCTTTCCCTGAAGACGTTTCGCTTCTCATCCAAGAAGCTTCTGAATGAAAAAAAGCTTATTGAATGAGAAGCAAAAAGTCTTCAAGCAAAACAAAGATAGTCCAGTTGCCTTTTGAAAAAGATAAAATAACCCTTATTGTCATTTTTTTCTCTGAAAAAAAGGCAACTTTGAGACAATAATGCTGAAAGTGGGGGGGGGGTTTGGCTATATTTTATCACCTTCCTATTTTAGCATTAGCCTTGGCCTACTGCATCCCATATATATATATATTTTATAGGCGACAGTCTTCTTTAACTGCCTTAGGGCTTTTGGACAAGCTTGGCCAAAGATAGTTTGGAATCCATTCTGATATTTCACCTACAGGAATTGAGGGAATTGCTGGTTGAGCATTACTTCACTCCTGTCACCTGGGATGGTGGCCAAGGTCCTGAGCCAATGCATCTGTCTTGCAACAGAATGGAACAGCTGTAGCCTTAAGTGCCATTGCTGTTCCCCAGTATGTGCTGTCTGCCCCTGTTTGCCTTATTCTATCAAATAATAGGCCAGCCCTGCCTTTGGTCAACCTTCTTAATATAGCTATCCTTCAAATCTAAATTCTATTCAATAAATTAAATAAGTCTAGGAAGCATTTCCAATCCAAATATGCCCTTCATCATCCCTTCTTTTTCGCTGGGGTGATATTATGCAATCTGTAGAATGTATTATAAGATTATCAGTCTAGGAAGAGTTCCTAATGCAAATATGGTCTTTAATCATCCCTTCTTTTTTTTACTAAAGAGATAAGATGTAATTTATGGAATTATAAGACCATGAGGTGCTAATAATCAAGATAAGAAAGGAGCCCCAAGACCACTTTCTCAACCATGGCAACTTTAAAATGGATGGATTTCAACTAGAGAATTCTGGGAGTTGAAGTCCACCTATTTTAAAGTTGCCAAGGTTGAGAAATGCTGCTCAAGACAATAGATTTTAGTGCCATTAAGTATGTCAGTATGGAAAACAGCCAGCTCTTGTATAATCCATGAAGAGGGCTTTGGTGCTCAATATGTTTTAGTTTTCAAAGGGTTTTTGCTTTAAAATGCTTCATATTTCCTGCATTTGCCTCATAGTTAATGAGTAAAGGAATCTATTGTTTTACTTTTTTTTTAAATTTGATTTATATGCCACCATTCTCCAGAGACTCAGAGCGGCTTACAATGTGTTAAGCAATAGCCTTCATACTTTTGTATATTTATACAAAGTCAGTTTATTGCCCCCATAATCTGGGTCCTCATTTTACCCACCTTAGAAAGGATGGAAGGCTGAGTCAACCTTGAGCCTGGTGAGATTCGAACTTACAGTAATTGCAGGCAGCAGATGTAAGTGGATGTTAATAACAGTGCTTTAGTCTGCTGAGCTACCAGAGCTCAGCAGACTTTGGGAGAACTCCAATCTACCATGGGAAAGTGATGGGTGAACTTTAAAGCTGGGCATTTGGATTTTGAGGAAAGGATCAAAAATTGACCTCAGCACACTTTTGCCTCTGCTGTGAGGTGAGGATTCATTCTCCAAGGTTGTGGGTTGGCTTCTGAATGGTTCATTACCATGCCAGGTAACATCTTCAGTGGAGTTTAGGGGAAGTCAGTGTTCTTCTGTTTATAAGGGCTTCAGGTGTGGATGTGTCAAGTGAGGGTCTTGTGATGGGTCAGCTCTGAGTCATCAGTGAGTCTTGTACTGATGACTCAGAGCTGACCCTCACTTGACATACCCACACCTGAAGCCCTTATAAACAGAAGAACACTGACTTCCCCTAAACTCCTCTGAAGATGTTACCTGGCCTGGTAATGAACCATTCAGAAACCAACCCACAAGCTCGAAGAATGAATCCTCAAACCCTCACCCTTATCCTACACCTGAGCTACAGATATTTGCCACTATTGCAATCCTCCAAGTAAGCTGGTATGCCTAAAACAGTGTCCTGCAAAACAGGAGTAAAAAAGAGTTCCATTTTGTGGACCAGTTGTAAAATATTCAACAAACTTTACAACAAACTTCTGTGTCAATGATTGATAACTGGGCTAAATTTAACACAGATGTTAGGGTCCCATATTACTTATTGAATATTATTATTTATGGAATAAGAATCCATCTTTAATTTCCTGTAAAAACAGTTCTGATTAACTGGAAAACAGAAGCTTCAAATGCTTCCTTTTTAATGCCTTGAAAAGGGCACTTCCATATGTAAGGGCAGCACCAATCCAATGTTGCAGTCAGTCTTCTTTGTCTGCATATTGTTTTGGCTCATGGAGATCTTTTCACATGAGATGATTAACTTTTAGCTCAGCAGATACTCCAGAAAGATTACTGGGAGGAATAGTTTGGAAGTATTTTGAAGTGCTGCAGGTCAAGTAGCTTTCCATTGTCAGTAGATCCCAACTTGTCCTGCCCCCTATTTTTCACATTTCCCAACTTTCTCAAGGGCACACAACATCATACATACAGACAGAGGGTTTCCCCCCATTGTTCACAGTCCATCAGACCAGCTCAGTGGCTGGTAGTTGGTTGCCTTCTTTGCTACAAAGAAATAAATGCGCAAGAGAAGAATGAGAAATAGAATCCTGAGGACATTTATGCCACTATTTGAAAATGTCAAGAGTAGGAAGGGCAAAGAAATTGTCCTTGGAAGCAAGGTAAGGAACTAAAAAATCATCCTTGGACCATGAAAAATTTTATTCTCTGTCTCTTACTTGGAAAGATCTTTTCACCTATGCCTTTGTGATCTTAAATAGATATGGTCTCCAGATGTTTCTGAATTAAAACAACAGCTGCCAACATCCATCATTATTGCCCAGGTTGATGAATTTTAACAACATCTGGAGAGGTACAGATTCACTTAATAATGAGTAAAAGCTAATAATTTGCTTTAAGAAATTAAACAGATTCCCACAGAAGAAATTCTATGCAATCTATGCATTTCGAACTTTTGCACTTGAGACACAAACGGGAGCTTATATATATATGCTTACATACATAGGACATTAACTTTTTGCTCTTGATTATTGTTTCATTTTTATGGTTAGCAACCTAATGCATTATATTACTCCATTCCAAAGCAGATTGAATAATAATTCCAGCTTTGTTTGGAAAAAAGCAGCATTATCTTTAAAAAATATTTTTAAAAAATCCACCTATTTTAGAAATAGTGATACAAAGCTGTAAATTCTTGCATGAACTTTTGACACTCTCATACATGATTTTATGAGTGTAGCATTGTTGGGCAAACTGTACTTAAATCTTACCAGATTTTTACAATCTCACAAATTTTCAGCCATTAAAAAAAAAAACTTATGTAATTTGAGGGATTTCACACATAATTTTCTGAGAATGATAGTTGTGGTCCATGCAAGCACATGGTAGTTGATTTTTGACTTTAAATTTTATCACACATTTACCAAGTTGTTTTCAGTGAGAGGCATCAGTGCTAATGGTAAACTCACCTGGAAAACTTTTCTATTAATCTTTCTCGTAATACACAGCCCCAAACTAGCATATGCACCTATGGGCAATCTTGGGCTACAACTCTCTTCAGCTCCAGCAGGCTTGAGAAAGGCTGAGAAACAGGAATAATTCTTGGATGTGCTCCTCTATTTCCAAGAGGTACAAAAGTGAGACTCAACATAGTAAAAGCCCACGTGAACCAAAAACATGTTTCTTTAAGATTCTCAGGAATCCTCAATCTACCTGGTTCCGTGTATAGGTAGTCCTCGACTTACAACCATTCATTTAGCAACTATTTGAACTTATAATTCAGATAAAAATTGACTTATAACAGGTCCTCACACTTGCGACCATTGCAGCATCCCCACAGTCACATGATCAAAATTCAAGAGTTTGGCAACCGGCATATATTTACAATGGTTGCAACTTCTTGGGAATCACGTGATTGTCAATTGTGACTTTCCCAGCCAGCTTCTGACAAGAAAAGTCAAGGGTGGTGGGACGGGACTGAATTTGGTTAATGACCGTTGATTAACACCAACTACAGTGATTTGTTTAACCATGGCAAAGAATTGGACATGACTCACTCAATAACCACCTTGCTTAGCAACAGAAATTCTGGTCACAATTCTGGTTATAACTTGAGGACTACCTGTGCCTCCTTCCCTATAGTATTAATTTCTTAGCAGGATATTTGAAAATCCCAAACAGCGTATAGATCTGACTCAAATAGATGTAATTTTTAACTATTTCTGCCCATTCTGTCTCCCCCTTACCTGCCCGATTAATCTCGATTATCTCCTCTTGAGCCAAGGGGCATGAGTCACCCTGGTTGCTGCGATGTGGGGACTGCATGTCCGGTTTGCAGTAGTTGGGTGAGCCAGGCTGGGGGGCTCGTGGGATGTGCTTGTTCTTTTTCTTTGGTAGTTTCTGCTTGGCCATAGCCAGCGAATAATACATGCCAAAATTGTTGACGATGACTGGCACAGGCATGGCAATGGTCAACACACCAGCCAAGGCACACAGTGCTCCCACCAACATGCCTGACCAAGTCTCGGGATACATGTCACCATAGCCCAAAGTCGTCATGGTCACTACAGCCCACCAAAACCCAATGGGGATGTTCTTGAAGACAGTGTGCTTGCTGCCCGTTATGTCGTCTGGGTGAGCACCGATCCTTTCAGCATAATAGATCATGGTGGCAAAGATCAAGACCCCTAGGGCCAAGAAGATGATGAGGAGCAAGAACTCATTGGTGCTGGCCCTCAGCGTGTGACCTAGGACTCTCAGTCCTACGAAATGCCGGGTCAGCTTGAAGATCCTTAGGATCCGGACAAATCTTACCACCCTCAGGAAGCCCAACACATCCTTGGCTGCTTTGGATGAGAGGCCACTGAGACCCACTTCCAGATAGAAGGGCAGGATGGCCACAAAGTCGATGATGTTGAGGGTGCTCTTGATGAATTCCATTTTGTCTGGGCAAAAGATGACCCGGATGAGGAACTCAAAGGTGAACCAGATGACGCACATCCCTTCCACGTAGGTGAGGAAGGGTTCTGTTTCCATTTCATAGTCCACCTTTATGCTGGTACTGTTCCCCGTCTTTATGATTTCTGTCTTGTTTTTGAAGTGGTTGAAAGCCTCATGGGTCTCTAAGCAGAAAGTGGTGATGGAGATGAGGATGAAGAAGAGGGAGGCAAAGGCCACATACTGGAGAGATGCAGAAGGACAAATGTACGGGGAAGAAGCAGACAAAGAGGAACAGCAGGGAGGCGAGAATGTCAAACAGGAAAGGACAGGGAAGGAAAACATTAGTGCTAACTCATAATTGTAAAAGAACAAACTCTTCCAGAAAAGGAACAACCTACCCTACAAAAGTCAGTCCCTTCCCAATAATTACCCTCTCTTCAATAAATAGCCGCTAAGTATATCTCAAGAGACAGCAAAGACATCACTTATCCCATTGTTAGTGAGGGAAAACTGAGGCATGGGATAAGAGGGAAGGACATATTTCGTTTTTAAAAAGGTGGCCAATTTTTTTAAAAATCCTCATACTATAGCTAGACAATTAGATTAGATACTAATGTGTTAGCCTAGTTTTCTTCTTATGCAAAAGGGTTTTTTTTTTTAAGCAAATGGAGGGATATGCATTTAAAAATGGTATCCTATCCCCTGCAGTTGTGTCTGCCATCTTAATATATCTAAGTCAGGTCTAATAACTGTTGGAAGAAAAAAACCCAAAATGATGTAGCAATGAATAATTTTTTTCCCTATCATTTCTGTATCATCAACCCCTACGTTATAGAGATCTATTCTATTTTAAGTAGCATCCTGAAATGGCTTATCTGCTTATTGTACTCCGTTCATTACACTCTGTAACCTATTAAATGGATTGATCTGCATCTGATTTATTATGGATGGGGGTGCTAACCATGTTTGTGTATGTGTGTTGCATACGTATGCTTTCTTGTTGCTGTCATCAAAGTCAAAAACTCTTAATGATCTATTGCATATCTATAAAGATCTACCAATAAATCCAGATTGTTTTCCAACACCAGTTCTAGCTTGTTAGTATTTGTCCTTTTTTTGGGATCATGGTTCCTTGGTGTGACTTCTTTCCCAATGTTTTCTTTCCATTTGACTGGACGCAGAGTTTTCATAAAATCTCCACTCTAAACAATGCCTCCTCCTTGAATTCGCTATAGCTGGCCATCATGTTTAATAGCCACCAATTGAATGTTTGCCTAGTCACCTTCTAAAGAAGACTTCTTCGTTAGGGTACCCTTCAGTTAGGCTGGGATGGAATTCCCACAATTCTGGCTAGCATGGCTGAAGCATTTAGGGACCACAATTTGATTTAAAGCCATCAGAGACCAGGAGAATCCCAACATCTTGTAGGGATAGCCAGCCTTGTCTCTGCATATCTCATGAGAGAGGATGGGCAATGTTGTCTTCCTTTAAGAAAGCTTTTCTTGGAACTATAGTATGACCATTGCCCAATAACCACTTTTTTGAAAACATTTTTGTCTTATCTTTACTCCAAAGAAACTGATGCGAGTCCATATTCCCCTATGTTTTATGTACAACAGTTTTTGAAAAACTCTGAAATTACAAGTCTAAGATCACCTGGGGAATTTATAGCAAACAAAGTATTCATAAGTATGCTTCCCCAGTCATAGCCTAATGCTCTAGCCTAGTGGCATTCAACCTTGAGAACTTTAAGTCTTGTGGACTTCAACTCCCAGAATTCTCCAGCCAAGTTGACAAGGTTGGATGCCTTTTGGGCTAGTCATTCATTCTGTATTAATTCTCAGCTGATGGTGGAGTAGAGAAAAAACAGATTCCATTAGCTGCTCATTTATGAAATTCATTCCATAATTTTGGACCAATTATTCTTTTTTCAGTCCAAACTACCTTGTAAAACTGATGCAATAAATGACTGGGGAGGGGAGAACCAAAAAGAACTTGCTTTATTCCTTAGAGGAACCAGAATCTATTAATTATTTATTATTTAATTTAATTTAATTTAATAATTTAATTTAATTTAATTTAATTTAATTTAATTTAATTTAATTTAATTTAATTAATTTAATTTATTTAATTTAATTTAATTTAATTTAATTTAATTTAATTTAATTTAATTTAATTTAATTTAATTTAATTTAATTTAATTTAATTTAATTTAATTTAATTTAATTTAATTTAATTTAATTTAATTTATATACCGCCCTATTCCTGAGGGACTCAGGGCGGTGAACAGCAAAAGATAAAAATACATGTAATACAAACGTTAAAAAACCAATTAAAATATACTAAACACTCTGGTCCTAGATAATTCAAGACATCCCAGTTTAAAACAAAATCAGAAGCAATATAAAGGGAAAGTTAGGGCAGGCCGGCCTGCTGAAACAGGAATGTTTTGAGGGCACGGCGGAAAGTGCGCAGATCCGGGATCTTCTGTATCTTTGGGGGGAGCTCGTTCCAGATGGTGGGTGCCCTCACAGAAAAGGCTCTCCCCCTGGGGGCCGCCAGTCGACACTGTTTGGCTGACGGCACCCTGAGAAGCCCCTCTCTATGGGAGCGTACTGGGCGGTGAGAGGCTATTGGTGGCAGAAGGCGGTCTCGTAAGTACCCCGGTCCTAAGCTATGGAGCGCTCTAAAGGTGGTAACCAAGACCTTGAAGCGCACCCGGAAGACCACAGGGAGCCAGTGCAGCTCGCGCAGGAGGGGAGCCACATGGGAGCGCCATGCTGCTCCCATAACTACCCGCGTGGCCGCATTCTGGACCGGCTGGAGCCTCCGGGTGCTCCTCAAGGGGAGCCCCATGTAGAGAGCATTACAGTAGTCCAGGCGTGAAGTGACGAGGGCATGAGTGACCGTATTTAACGAGTCCCAATTCAGAAAGGGACGCAACTGGCGAATCAGGCGAACCTGATAAAAAGACCTCCCGGCCACAGCCATCAAGTGTTCTTCTAAAGACAGATGTGAGTCCAAGAGAATGCCTAAGTTGCGAACCCTCTCCGTGGGGGCCAATGACTCACCCCCAATAGTCAGTGATGGCACCAACTGACTATATCGGGACGTCGGAAACCACAGCCACTCGGTCTTGGATGGGTTGAGCCTGAGTCTGTTCCTCCCCATCCAGATCCGTACAGCCTCCAGGCACCGGGACATCACTTTAAGGGCATCATTGGGGTGGTCCGGGGTGGAGATGTATAGCTGAGTATCATCAGCATACTGATGATACTTCACCCAAAAACCACGGATGATCTCACCCAGCGGCTTCATATAAATGTTGAACAGAAGGGGCGAGAGAACTGACCCCTGTGGCACCCCACATACAAGGGGCCTCGGGGTCGACCTCTGCCCCCCTGTCAACACGGACTGCAACCGATCAGAGAGAAAGGAGGAGAACCACCGCAACACGGTGCCCCCCACCCCTAGCTCTTCCAACCGGTGCAGCATGATACCATGGTCAATGGTATCAAAAGCCGCTGAGAGATCTAATAGGACCAGGACAGAGGAGCAACCCCTGTCCCGGGCCCTCCAGAGATCATCTACCAATGCGACCAATGCCGTTTCCGTGCTGTATCCAGGCCTGAAGCCCGACTGGAACGGATCTAGATAAGCCGATTCATCCAAGTACTGAGGAAGCTGTCGCCCTACCACACTCTCAACAACCTTCGCAACGAAGTGAAGGTTGGAGACTGGACGGTAATTAGCCAACACTGCTGGGTCCAGGGAAGGCTTCTTGAGGAGAGGCTTCACCACCGCCTCTTTCAAGGCGGCGGGGAAGGCACCCTCCCTCAAGGAAGCATTTATAATCCCCTGGAGCCAGCCTCGTGTAACCTCCCGAGAGGCCAGCACCAGCCAGGAGGGGGACAGGTCCAATAAACATGTGGCCGCGCTCAGTCTGCCCAATATCTTGTCCACGTTTTCCGGAGTTACAGAATCAAACTCTTCCCAGGTAATATTCTCAAGGCTTGCCTCCCTCCTCCCTCCTGAATCTACCCAGTCAGAGTCCAAATTTTCCCGAATCTGAGCGATTTTGTCATATAGATATTGTACAAAGTCCTCAGCTCTACCCTCCAAGGGGTCCTCCCACGCTTCCTGGTGGAGCAGGGAGCAGGTCACCCTAAACAGGGCGGCTGGGCGATTATCTGATGACGCAATAAGAGCGGAAAAATAGTTACATTTTGCCGCTTTTATTGCCACCAGGTAGGTCTTAATATGAGACCTTACCAGTGTTTGGTCCTCCAACCGCTGGCCCTCCAACTGCTTTCCAGGCGTCTTTTCCGGTGTTTCATCTCCCTCAGCTCCTCGGTGAACCAGGGAGCCAGGTGAGATCGACGCCGGGTTAGAGGCCGCAAAGGCACGACCCAATCTAAAGCTCCAGCGGCCACCCTATCCCAGGCGGCCACTAGGTTTTCAGTCGAGCTGTGTGCCAGAGCCTCAGGAAATGGCCCAAGCTCCATCTGGAACCTATCCGGGTCCATCAGGCACCTGGGGCGGAACCACCTCATCGGTTCCGCCTCCCTGCGGCGGGGTGTGGCGGTTCGAAGGTCAAAGCGAAGAAGGGAGTGATCTGACCATGACAAGGGCTCGATCGCTATATCCCCTATCTCGAGACCACTCAGACACTGACCAGAGACAAAAACCAGGTCCAGCGTGTTTCCCCCCGTGTGAGTAGGGCCATGAACTAATTGGGTCAGGTCCATGGCCGTCATGGAAGCCATGAACTCCTGAGCCACCTCAGATGCCTCACCGACGGATGGCAGGTTGAAATCCCCCATGACCATAAGCCTAGGGGTATCAACCGCCACTGCGGCTATAACGTGGAGTAGTTCAGGCAAGGCCGCTGCCACGGGGCAGAGAGCCAGGTACGTAACCAGCAGGCCCATCTGCACCCCATGACCCCACTTCACAAGGAGGGACTCACATCCGGCCGTCTGAGGAACAGTGGCCTCCCTCGGACCAAGACCCTCTTTAATGATAACTGCCATCCCCCCACTCCTCCCCTGTGACATTGGCTGATGAAATGCCCGGAAACCGGGTAGGCACATCTCTACGAGAGGGACCCCCCCTCCTGGCCCAACCAGGTCTCCATAATACCCGCCAGGTCCACTCCCCCCTCCTGAACAAGATCACAAATGAGGGGGGCTTTATTTACCACAGACCTGGCATTGCATAGCATCAGCCGAAGGCCCAGG